TTCATAAGCGGGATTGCAGGAGCCTTCAAGCAATCCTCCAATAGATCATCGAGACCTTCCCTCTTCACACCTATTTTCGATTACAGGTATGCCCCTTGACCCACCTCTTCACCCTTTTTGATTCGATCACAACCCTTCCTTCTCCTTTCTTTTCCATGTTTTCTGCAGGTTTAAAGGGTCACCCTTCTTGATTCGATCACCGCCCTTCCTTCTCCTTTCTTTTCCGTGTTTTCTACAGGTTTAAAGGGTGAAGAGGACGATGTATAGGGTCTAGAAATTTGGAGATGAATGTGTGGGTTTGAGGCTCGATAACGCGTGGGTGCTCTGTAATTGGGGTGACAGGGGATGGCAACAGTGGAGAGGGAATGGTGTCGATGGTGGCTGTAGTGGAGGTGGGTTAAAGGGTGTGGCTGTGATGGAGAAATAAGAGGGGTTTATAGTGATTGAATGTTGTAAAGGTTATGGGGGTTGACTGTGGGAATCATGTATGGAAAGTGGTGGTGTTCGGTGGTTTAGGTAGGGGGAAGAAAATGATGAAAGTGTGTAAATGGAGGTTGCTTGCACGTAAATGGTAGGGATGATGGTGGGGCATTTGGTGATAATGTAAAGCTACTTATGGTGGATGATAATGGAGGTATAAGGGTGGTATTCGATGAAAATGGTGGAATAAGGTGATGGATTGATGGTGGTAGACAATTACCTTGAATACCCGGTTACCATGAGGATAAATAAGAACAAAGCATAAAGTTAAATGATATTTTTTATACAAAATCTTAGTTCATTGATATTTTTTTTACTAAAATAACAATAATGGTCATTTTTGTACAATTTTAATACTTTGTTACCATTTTAAGTCATTTTCCCAAAAATAAAAGAGAAAAAATGACGTGAAAATGGGTTTAGTGGGTTGGGAGGGAATGACTCCCTCCTCCTAAGGACTACAAAAATAAACAAAATTTGGAGCTTGATTATAAGAGGTGCCACCATTTTGCTGGTGTCATACGCAAACTCTCTTTGTTGATATTTTACTTATAAACTTAAAATCCCAGGTCTTTTGTACCATTCTTTTTAAAATGAATTTCATGTAAACTGAACTCAACCATCAAGTACTTCAGGAATTTATTTTATACGCATTGGTTGAAAGTAAATTGTGCATGAAGAAATCTAGCTGTGGGCATTGCATTAATGGTTGGATTTGTTTACTTCAAGAAGTTGGAGAAAAAAAATGCCTCAATCGTTTTTATAGTTGAAGAGTTAATCATATAAAATAAATTGATCAAAGCCTACTACGCCGGAGGGAGGAAGTGGTGTTAAGTTTATCACGGTCTACGTAGGCGTCACGTAGGATTTGCCACTTCTACAAATTTTTGTCATTTACATGGCATAGGTTGCTATGCTATATATATATTTTTTAAATTAATAAATTTTAAAAAAAAATAAACATTTCAAACATACTATTTTTTTAAAGCTAAAATTTCATTAAACTAGAAAATAAAATTACAATAAAAAAACATAGAATTTCAAATTACGAACCATAGAAATTTAAATAACGAAACCATAACCGTAAAATAACGAAACCTAGATGTTGTATTTTTTCACGACCCTCTCTTTTGCTTTTATCACAATTTGTTTTTGACATCCGATGAAAATGCTAGTGTCTCTCCTTAAGAGTGCCATGACACATTTTTTTTCTTTCTCTTGTGCAACCGCTAAATATTGTTCCAAAGACGACTTCAAGTTGTCCATTTTGGCTGTTAGTTGGTCGATGTCACCTAAACCACTTGCCTCCGTTTTTCCCTTTCTCTTGGCTCGGTCTCTTCCCATGAGACGAATGGCTCTTGGAGCCTCAAAAGGCTCCTCCTCATTGAGGTCAATCCTGACATGCGCATCAGACGATTAACTATATGCATCGTTTCAGATGTTTTGGTTCTTTTAGAAGAACCACCAGTAAAGGTTTCAGAAGGGTCGAGCTCTTGCCATTTGTTTTGACAATTTCAAAATATTCCAAACACGTAGAAATTTGAAATTGGCCCCTTTCTGATTTCGGTACACCTCAAGAGTTTTTTGCAAAATAGTTTTGTCGTTTGCACCACTTTGCCATTGTCGATTGACACTCGAAAACACCCCATTAAACTCTGTCACGACTTTATTGACATTTCTCTACTTCGAATAAATTTGATCTTTTTTTCAGTACTCTCCAAGATTCCTCTTCATGAGAAAACACCGTGTAATTTTTCGGAAAAAAGTTGGGCAATCTTGGTTGTTTCCGACCACCGGATCTTTTGAAACATCCACCCACACACGAGCTAACGCCTTTTCTTCGGCCGATGTCCATTGCTTTGGAGCTGCCCTTCCACTTTTTTTGGGTTGTGGTCGATTCTCTTCCGACTCCGATTCCGTTTCGGGGACGACTTCTAGTTCCCCTTGAGTTTGGAATTGGGTTTGGAAATTCATTGGGGGAGTCGGGAAGACCGTCAAATGGGTTGAAGTTATTTTCCATTTGGGATGAGAAGTTCATTTGAGGTTGGTTTTGAAATTGAAGTTGTATTTGAACTTGAGGTTGGTTTTGGTATTGAGGTTGGTTTTGGGCTTGAAATGGGTAGTAAACACCACCAAAGTGTAAATTTAGAGGTGAATAAATAGGTTGATCGCTTTGGCTTTGAACGAAGTTTGGTGAAGAATGTGAGATTGGGTTTGTGTTTTGGATGTTTCTTTTGGTATTTTTTTGAGCTTCTGGGTTGGAAGGATAATCCTTTTTTTTTTTTGACAAAATTATGTTGTTTGAGTGAAAAAATGAAGAAGGTGAAGTGGGATGAAATATGGTATGTAAAGGTATTTATATATGGTAAAAAGATGGTATTTTTTGAATTATTATTATTATTATTATTATTATTATTTGAAAAAAACGGTCATTTTGACCAAGGCCAACTGTAACATACACGTTTTGAAATCGTGTTATGTAAATTAAAAAGTTAATCATATTATGAAATATTATGAGAAATTG